GTTGGTATGCGAGGAAGAAAAAGAAACGAGGTTAGGGATGGATTTTTCTTAAGGTGGGCTGTAGGGTTTTAGGAGGGAAAAATGAATAGTGGCGACCTTACATTTTTGTAGCTAGTTGTTTTTTTTTTTTTGGGTAGGAAAGATGGATAGTTATGGCTCTTTCAAAAAATGAGGAGAAGGATTGTTTTAATAGGGTTATTTTAGGATCAAAATAAAATCAATTTTAGTCATTTCTTGGTTCGTTTCTTTCAATTTTAATGCATATTTTATTATTTTTCTCCAATTAGCTTTTTATTTGAAATTATTTAATTCTTATTCTCTTGATTTCTTTTAATTTTACACTAATTAAATTTTAATCAAGGCCTTGATTAAAATCTCTTTCCAATTACATCCCGAATTAAATGTCGTTTGTTCCTCAATTCTCACATCATTTTCAATTGGATCCTAAATCATATTTCCAAATTATTTCTTTTTCCTTTTATTAGTGTTGGTGAAGGAGGTTTGGTGGGTGAGGAGGAAAAAGAAACAGAGTTAGGGATGGATTTTTCTTAGGGTGGTCGTTAGGGTTTTAGTAGGGGAAGATGAATAGTGGCACTCCTACATTTTTCTAGCTTGGTTTTTTTTTTTTTTTTTTTTGGTAGGAAAGATGGATAGTTATGGCTCTCTCAAAAAATGAGGAGAAGGATTGTTTTAATAGGGTTATTTTAGGATTAAGATGAAATCAATTTTAGTTCTTTCTTGGTTCGTTTCTTTCAATTCTAATGCATATTTTATTATTTTTCTCTAATTAGCTCCTTATTTGAAATTGTTTAATTCTTATTCTCTTGATTTCTTTCAATTTTACATCAATTAAATTTCAATCAAGGCCCTTGATTGAAATCTCTTTCTAATTACATTCCTAACTAAATGTTGTTTGATCCTCAATTCTCACATCATTTTCAATTGGATTCCAAATCATATTTCCGGATTATTTCCTTTTCCTTTTATTTTTAATTTTTTAATTGAAAAATAAGGGATTATCTTAAGAGGTTAAAATACTAAAAATGCCTAAAAAATCATGAGAAATCAAGAAACTATGCAATATGCCAATTTTTTTTTTTTTTGAATTTTGAATGAAAATAAACACGAGGGGTAAAAAATGAGTTATGACAATAATGATAGTCTTATCAAATCACTTTGTTGCTTCATCCAACTCGATGTAGAAAAAAGACATGTTGGTTCATCATGAAGGTAGGAAATTGATCTTAGTGTCAAAATGAGCTATTTCAAAACTAGTGATCGAGTAACTGCATTAAATGTCACCGATGTATTAGCCAAAGTTGAAGCATATGCGAAATTTTTGTTTTTCCTATGATTTTTTCGAATTTTCCACCATAGCATTGGTAATAGCTAATGGTTCTCCTAATATCTTAAAAGAGGACGTTGACAATCCTTTATCCTTAGAAGGCATTTATACACTTCGCTAAATTCAATAAATTTAAAGTGTCCTTAATTATGAAGATGCTTAAGTTGGGTTTGGTGCTGAATATGAAGGTAGAGAAGAAATTGGATGATTAGTTGATGGTGGAATGGTGTTGCTTGTTTATTTTTTTTGTTAATCGATTCTTGTTTTTGCTTCGTATTCATCAAATGGTAGAGGGGTTTTGTAGAGTAGAGTTTGTGGGTCGTTTTTATGATTTTAGTTTTAAGAAAAATGAAGGAAAGAAGGAGATGAAGAGAAGAAATGGGGTTTGAAGATATAGTACTAATTTCTTAGTCGTGTTTTACAACCGTAATTATAGCATGTTCAAATTACAAACCCTTAAATAATTTTAATTATTATATTATATATATTTTTTAAAGGTTTTGATGTCACCTTTAACCTTTGAAATAATACTGCTATTTTGAGAAAAAGAACAAGTTAAATTAGCTAAAGTTAGCTATAATTATAATTTTTATGAGATATGTATAAGAGTTTGGAATGTATATAACATATCGAAATAATAAATTTATTTCTTAAAAGGAAAGTAATTTTCATAACTTCACGTCAATGCAATAGTAAGTTGAATGTTTGATGTTGTGTTACAAATATCATAATTTTCAAGTTGAAATGTGATTGTGGCTTAGTCTATTTCTCCCGGTAAGTTTTTTTTTTTTTTTTTTTTTTTTTTTTTTTCTAATATACAATTATAAATGAGTACTATTCAATTTAAATCGAAAAATTGAATTAAAATATTAATTTTGGTTCGGTTTCTAACTCAAAATTAAAATAAATAAAAAAGATTTTTTTTTCAGTTTAGTTTAAAATGAAAACCAATTTTATTTTTAATTTTTTTCTATTTTTTATTTTTTAAGAAGTTTTAAAATAATGGAGATAAACCAAAAAAACGAATCTTAATATTATTAAAATACATGATGGATTGATGATGTTTTTTTTTTTTTTTTGTCTATTTATACTATTTTTAAAAAATCAGTTTAAATCAAATAAATGAATAGTAATTTGGTTTGGATTGGAGTTTTATAGGTTCGGTTAATTGAAATTGTTACAAACTGAATAAAAGACGAAAGATCACCCCTAGGAACGGCCCTTCGATATGAGGTTCTCTTTCATGGTTTCGTTGTTTTCCAGTTTAGAAAATTTTAAGGTTGCAGGTCATTTTCCTCACTAGCTATTCCATTTAGGGCTTTTAGTTATTTTTTCTCTTTATTTTTATTACTGGGGGTGGCTCTCCTCTCCCGACCTTTTTTCTTCATCCACCAGGGCGAAGGGCTTTTCAAATTTTTCCTCTCGAGGAAGATTCTGATTTATGAGGCTTTTTTTTTTTTTTTTTTTTTTTTTTTTTTTAAAGATTTTTGCCTTTTTCTTGCTCTTTAATGGTTGCCAGCTGGTTTAAAGCAGAATTTTTTTAGATCTATGGCTAATTTCGAAAGAGGGCTTATTTTGTTTGCTTTTATAGATGATCTGATGGCTTTGCTAGATTGAGGTACGAACTGATAGCGTGCAGTGTTCTTAAAGCTATGCGGCGAGTAAACTTTATGGATAGTAAATTTTTTTGGGGTTTGTCCCGTAATAGGTTAGTACTGGAGTTGGAGAATGCAATATCTGTTTGAGAAAAGCTAACAATTGCTCTAACGCTACTGTTATGTTTATATGCTATTTTTCCTTTTCTTTATAAGAAAGATGTTATAGTGGTAGATTGGGCAGTCGAAACTTATAGATTGTTAGTATACTTTCTTTCTATAATTTATAGTTAGTTTGTATCCAATTTGTCAAGCAAACAAAATTAGTTACTATGGGTTGTTAAAAAAATAATAGATTAAATGAATATTGTGTTAAAAGAAAAACCTCCATAAGAACAAAAAAATAATAATAACTCGGGCCATCTCAATAATAGAACAAATATTAGAAAAAAAACCCCCCACAAATAAAAAAAGAAAAAGAAAAAGAAAAGAAAAGTCATACATGTCCTTTAAACAAAAATTGGAGAAAACTTTATTCTGACCAATTCACAATAGTGGTTTTATTAGTTTTGGGTTGAAATAAAAAGCTAAAAATATCTAACTACTCTTGAATTTTAAGTCATTTGAAGTTAAGTCCTTAATTTTTTTTATTGGTCTTGGAGATCCCTGAACTTTTATTTTTTTCAAAATTAATCAATCTAATGATTTTCAGCTATCTTATTTTCCTTTAAAAAAAAATTCAATTCTTTGTATTTTGAGATGAAATTTTGCATACATGTTGAAAAATATTCAATCAATTTTCTAGAATAATTTCAAAAATTTTTAAAATAAAAAATTGTATTTATTTATTTTTTTAACATTAAAAATATAAAAAATCGAGAAAATAGAAAATAACTCTAAAATGATCTCAAATTTTTTGAGTAGCTCCACATAAATCTTGTTAAATGATTTTCATCATACAACTATTTATGTAATTTTTTTTTTAAGATAAACGATATGAAACTAAAGAATGAGTTAAATTTGAAAAAATTAAATGTTTAGAGATCCTCAAAACCGATAAAAAATTTAGAAACTCAATTTCAAATGACTTAAAATTTAGAAATAGTTAGATTTTTTGAGCCTTAATAAAATGCAAGATACTGTGGTTTTTTTTTTTTTTTTTTTGAAATTTTTTAAAAAGGTAGGTTATCTTACATTTTTGGACAAAAAATATTACGTTTATATCATACTAATTTCTCCCCTGAAAAAATCTTTAGATAAAATTCAGTATAAGAATTTAGATATACTACAAATTAACTTTATGAGTGACTGCTTTATAAATGGCTCACTTATCACCATGCTAAGCTGCTATTAGCATAAGGTCATCCTTGGAATTCGTACTTCTCGTATCCCCTCTGAGACAGTTAGTCGGATCCATGGATTTCAATCGAATAGTTGCATCGGGCTGGCTCTATTATGTATATAAGTTATTGCATTTAAGTCCAAAGACTGCGGGTCCGAGCTTCTAAGTACAAAAAAATAAAAAGTGGAAGCCCGAGCTCGAGCCCGACCCATATGTGATAGGTGTATCCAAAATTATCAAAACAGCAGGGACAAATGAGAAACAAAATGCAAACCATAAAAACGATCCCATCCCAACCAACCAAAGGAGAGGAAAACCAAAATAACTCAGCCCACAAGCCCTAGTAGCGTCCTTCTCTGGTCATCGTCGGCGAAAGCCTTGGCTTCACTCTCTCTATCTCCCGCACGGCGTTCAGGTAAAAGTTTTTACTCTTTATCTTTTATCAACTGCATCACATGGAATTATACTGACTCTAAAATCTCTGGCTAATTTGCTCCACTTGGCATCTAAGAACCATCTCCTTCTGATGTTAATACAATACAATAGTCGATTTCATGAACAATTTTAAAGTTATTGTGATATTTGTTAGGCAAGGAAAAAGCAGCTTCAGGTTGGAATAAGTTTCCTGTTGTTTGGTTGATTAGGGTTCTTGTTTTTATTTTACTTCATTTGCGATAAGGTGTATTTTTGTTTATGAGTAGGTTAAGTGTCTTTCGGAATGGCAACACGGCCGGATCCAGATATTGATGATGATTTTAATGAAATTTACAAGGAGTATACTGGTCCTCCAGGTTCTACAGTCGATAATGCACATGATAGGGCAAAAATAAATAAAAGGTCCCACGTGGACTCTGATGAGGAAGAGGAAACTCGTGACCCAAATGCTGTCCCAACTGATTTTACTAGCCGAGAAGCAAAGTTTTGGGAAGCTAAATCCAAGGCTACAGAGCGGAATTGGAAGAAGAGGAAAGAGGAAGAAATGATTTGTAAAATATGTGGAGAATCAGGTCATTTTACTCAGGTACTGTTTTGTTTGTAGGAAAATAAGTTGGTGAATTTTGTAAATTGTTTTCATATGCACGAGTGCATTACAACTTCACTTCATAGTGCACATTTATTTATGAATGCTCTCTTTTATGTATGGCAAGTGATTTATTAATGATTTATGATGGGATGGAACCTGCGATAACCATGAGGAAACTACGGTTTTGCATATGCTCTAGTGACACTATCTTTGAATCTATTTTTCCTTTATGCCTAGTGTACATGAAAGCCTGGGCTAATGTATAAACAACCAACTTGGGCATGCTTGAGAATCGAACTTAGTGCCTAATCTGAATAATGTTTTTAGATTAACTGTGGTTGGATGTTCTCGACTTCCTCCTGCTAATCACACCACTTTGATTTAGGACTTGACATGCTTCACTTCACTGTTTACTTTTGTGGCGCCCGTATAAGTTTACTGCTTGGATAACACCAACTCACGTGGTAGAGAAGAGGGATGCCATTTTGTTATTCTTTTCTTTTTTATTTGCACTTTCCAGTGTCAGAGGTCAAGTTGTTTGTTTTTTATTCTTTTGGTTTATTTTAAGCTGTGGGATTGAATGTTGTGCCATCCTTTCTGGTACTTGTACAGGGATGCCCCTCTACTCTTGGGGCAAATCGCAAGTCACAAGATTTCTTTGAAAGGGTTGCAGCAAGAGACAAGCATGTAAAAGCATTATTTACTGAGAAAGTGATACAGAGGATTGAGAAGGACATTGGTTGCAAAATCAAAATGGAGGAGAAATTTATAATTGTTAGCGGAAAAGATAGGTTAATCTTGGCAAAAGGTGTTGATGCTGTGCACAAGGTGATCAAGGGGGAGGGTGATCAGAAGGGCTCTTCTAGTTCTCACAGGAGTAGGTCTAGGTCCCTTGAGAGAAGCCCTGTAGGTTCACGGCTGCGACGTTCTGATTCCCAAAGGCCTTATCTAGGTCACCCACATGATACGTCACAATATCAACCGAGGTTTGGCAGGCAAGATAAGATTATGGAAGACCATCGTGAGGATCTGCATAAATTCTCAAGGGGTTCTCCACAAGGTAGGGACAGCATAGGATATGTTTTCGGCATCCATAAAACACTGGTAATCCCATGTTCGTAGTTTGTTAGGCTTCTGCAAGTTTCCATGTATGTTTGTAGCAATTGTTTCCCCAAGTTTTGAGTTTTTAATGATTCTATGTATTGCTTATCATGTGTTTGCAGCAAGAGGTAAGTTCTTATCTTCAAGAATTATGTGTACGATTCTGAAGTATCATTCATTGGTGGGTCTGAAATGGTCGGATTGTCTCCAAATCGAAATTATTTACTGAAAGCCAATTCAAGACTTGTTTGCAACGGATGGTTCACTATGTGAATACTAGATAGTATTTCTAATTAAAGCTACCATCTATGCTAGCATCTCGAATCAAGTGCTTAACGTACTCTTCATTTGATGAAGCTTATGGTAACGATGGAGTTAGAAGTCACTCAAGCTGTTCTAAATCTCCTGCACGTCCCCTTTATGCTGGCAACTCTTATGGTTCACATGATGGTCGTAGTCATAGCACGGCTGGTTATAGAACTACTGGATGGGATATTGAGAGGCAGGGGTCTGATTTGCAATCAGGCCATCGATTTGAATACTCTACGTTCCCTCAGACGTTAGAAGAACTGGAGTTAGAGCATAAGAGAGATGCAATGGAGCTTGCTAGAATTCATGACAAAGAAGAAGATGAAGAAAATTATAAGCATCGTGAGGTATTAAACCTATCTCAATAGTCCTGTACTTTATGGTTTTTTAAAACTGGCTGATTCAAGTTTCATTTGCTAAACCTTTGGTCTCAGAGTGTGTTATTTGTAATTAAATCAGAGCCTGACTAGCTGATCTGATCTTTGGGTATTTGTTTTATGTGATATCTACTTTAATTGTTTGCTTTTTTGTGGTTGAATTTTGTATATGCATGATTGATGTTGGGTGAGAAGACGAAATCAGTAGAAACAGCAGAGGCAAGTAACATAATGGCTTGGATTCACTAGTCTTGATCACCATGCAAAACAATCTATCCTCCTAGGAAATATCAAAAAGTCATATGCTAATCACATGACCCTAAAGTAATTGAATAGCCATAATTTCAGAAATAAATTTTACAGAAAGCTCCGGCATCAATACTGTATGAATCCTGTGTCAAAGATTTTACTGTCTTCATTTTTTGTGCTTTGTGGTTAATCTTTAACCATTAAATTGATCAAAATGAATATTGTATGTTCATAGTCATCTTCATTTTTTTTCAATCTTGTTACTGGAATTATGTTAGAGAGGGTAATGTGGCTCATTGATGAGGAATAAAGACATTATGTCATGGAAATTAGTATTTGATTATTTAGGAATTTAAATTTTGTATGATCATTCTAGACGTCTTTCTTTATTCCCCATCACTTATTTGATTACAGAAGATGAACTGTTGTGTTAAGTTTCATTGTTTTTCCATTTATAAATTTTTAATTTTTCTAATGAATTTGCTGCGGTGTGGTCTTTATTTTTTGTACAAAAAGAAAAGGTTCCTATCAAAATCTCCTCACTTGCTGTATTGATCTGGAAATTCTGATCTTTGTTTGATCCTGTGGATTAGACTATTAGGGAAATTGGAGAGAAGTACATGCAGAAATTGGCTATTCTAAGGGGCGCACACACAAGACAGTGGGAGGAGTTTCTTCAACGTGATGCCCAAATGCACCTGCAACAACCACGGCGGCCAATTTCCGTGTCTGGTTTTGGTGGCTATAAACAGCACTCTTATTCTGAATATGATGTTTCTTCAGCCAATACTCATTATGCTGGAACGAGTTCACCCGTGGATTCAACAGCCAGGTACTCAAATAACATGGAAAATTATTCTTCAAGACCTCATGATACATATGGTGAGTTCCAGCATCAGAGGCGCGAGGCTTTTGGGAAAGCATACAATCGATACTAAATTGGTGTACTGGAACTAAGTTAGGTGAGTTGTCGCACGCTCTTTGATTGAGTAAAGAGAAATAAATTCTCATTTTTTCCCTACCTTTAAATCTTCATACTTTCACAATCTTCTTTTCCTTCATGGCAACTTAACTGGTATGGTTGGAAACCATGTCCAAAAGCTCTTAGTGTTTCTGTAACTGAAATTATTGGTGCACAACGCACTGAGGCAAGCAGCTTTTTAATATATAGCAGGCCTTGGTTTGGGCCGGGTCAGGAGAAGCTAGGATTCTTTTTGCTGGTATTTGCAGATTTTGTTGTGCTTATCCTGCTCTAGCTTAAAGTTTGAATACAAAAATTTTCAGGGTCCAGATCATGGTCGTAGGAGTAATGCACAGGGGTTGCCCAGACCTAGGTAAGTTGGTCAGCGATCCTATCCTGTTTACTTCGAGAGGCGAATGATCTTAATCATCTGACGCTCCTAGTATGTCAGTAGAATTGCTTCATTTTCAATTTAGTAGTTGGACTCTGTTCATTATTTCTTTTCTATAGGTGAGTTGTGGTAATCATTTTCTTAGGTAGGTCTCGGAGTGTTTGAGGTTGCTGACTTTTGAATGGCGCATATTTGCATCAATGGACAACATTTTTGGCAGTTTTTCATTTAAGAGTGCTGTAGTTTATTGTTACATGCGATAGTCCTTCACATTTGCAGTACGTGCCAAGGCAGTATTGTATTTCTTCAATTAGATAAAAAGAGAATATATCTCTATTTTTGTTACTTTATTTTCTATAGTCCATGCAATAAATATGGAAATAAACCCCAGTAAGTTTTGGATGCTTTGGCATCCTTGTCTCAACTGTTCTTCGGTGATAATTTACTTCCCGATCAAATCAGCGGGGCTTCACTAGGCTTTGCTATAGTGCAGATAGGTTCGTCCTAGATGTGGATAGGTGAAGTGACATGCAAGGTGAACTTCTTTTCTTTTTCTTTTTATTTTATTTTGTATCTTCTCTTTTTCTTCTCTTCTGTTTTGCCGAATTTTCCATTCTTTTTCTTTTTCTTCTTCAGTTCCTTCACTAGGATTGGTATCATTTTTGTTTTGTTTTGTTTTTTTTCAAATTTTTGAAAACAAGATATGAAAATTTGTTTGTTTTTGCATTTTTGTTGTAGAAAAATAAAATTGACAAGAAGTTTTGAACAAAAAAAATGGTTTCAAAAGTTTTCAAAACTAGTGTTTTTTTTTTTTTTTTTCCCAACCAACATGTGTTTTGGGAGTCAAGTCGGGCTTGAAAGTTGAGAAAGAGGTGTGGATCATGCTAGGGGTTTAGATTAGAACCTAGTTCAAGGAGTTCAAGATTCGGGTTGGGAACTGTTATGGGGCGCTCAGGGTATAGGCCTAGACCAAGTTTGGGGTGTCTAGGATTCCATTTGGGATTAGGTCCGTGAAGACTCGAACTCGGTCTAGAACCTAGTTTAGGGTGCCTTGGAGTTGGTCCACGAGTTCATGGATAGGTTCGAGTTAGAACTTGTGCTGAGGTTTGAGATGCATCTAAGGTTCAGGTTTGGGGCACCTGGAGGACGATCTAGGGTTGGGTACAGGGTGCTTTGGGGACGATTCCGGTTTGGGGTGCCTTGAGGTTGGGTCGGAATGAGATTCAAGATGCTAGGGGGTCGGTCAGGAATCGAGTTCAGCAGCTTGGGGGTCAGGCTCGGACCCAGGTCTTGGGGCTCCCTAGGTGTTGGTCTGGTTGAAAATTACTGGACCTTCAGTATATTTTATGAACCACCTTTAAGAATAAGTAGGCCTATCTTGAGCAATATTGAAATTTAAATCTCGTCCTAAATAAGAAAATAGTTGGTTGCTCTTTAAGGATAAACAAAATTGTTCCTTATACATACAAAACAAGTTAAATAAATAAATAATAATAATAATAATCAAATATTCACTTAAACTCTTCTTTCCTTTTCTTTTACTTTGATGTTTGTTTTAGGCGATGGAAAATATTACAAACTTACTATAGTTTTTTGACGAGTGAAAAGAGGGATCCAGTACTCGTGTCCGTCAATATAACTCAACCCACCGCCAGAAAGCTACCGGTTAGATTTTGTCAAGTCTTCTTGGCCATCGCCGGAAGGCTAGGAACAAATCTAAGACTTCAAATTTTAAAGATGCTTCAAATGGATTCCATCATGTTGAGTTTATGGCGCGTGTAGCGTTGGAGCGAGAACGAGACGTAACTTAAATATGCAATAATGTGACCGACATTTTAAAAAAATTATAGAGCAAAACAATGTAACAATAATAATACTATAGAAACAAGCATCAATAAAGTCGTTGTAGTATAGTGGTGAGTATTCCCGCCTGTCACGCGGGTGACCCGGGTTCGATCCCCGGCAACGGCGTAGAAGATTTTGGTTTTTTCACTACTTTGGGCTTTCGATTTTATGTTCATTAGCTAGAAGCCCACGACGAGAAAACCTTGGCATGCAATAATTCTATTTAAGCATCCACACACAAATATATTAGAAGGATTTAATTGCTTGATAAGTATGAATGTACGATATACCTAATGATGTATTTGTTTCGTCAATAGTAAGTTTTTACCAGAAAGTTTATGTTGCGGAGAAAGTAATTAACAATATTTATTTTATAAAAATAGATAGAAATAGAAAAAAATTAGGTGAAAATGAAAATATTTTTATTGTTTTTAGTTTGATGGATGGGATATATATATATATATATATATATAATCAAAATGAATCCATTGAATAAATACTTATTTTTAGGGTTAATATCATCATTTATCCTTAAATAATAAGTCAATTTTCTAATATGTCTCTAAATTTTAAAATGCTTTCAATATGTTTTTATTATTTGAGCTAATTTTTAATCTATTGTTCTAGTCCATTTTTCAAGTTAAATCATCCAAAAATGTCACATGACTTACACATGATTTTTTCTTTAATGAAAATATCTCTTGTAGTTTAACATGTTAAGTTTTCAATCAATCCTTACATAGTTGGTTGAGTTTTCAATCTATCTTCAATGCTAAAAAATCTATTATTGTTATAAAAGAAATAGTAACAATGGTAGAATTGAAGAGAAAAATGATAAGAAAATGAATTTACTATAAAATAAAGTAAATACAAGAGATAACAATTTTAAATAATTTTCTAAATCCCTACAAAACACATCTACTCAAACTAATGAAAAATTAAACTTATTTATAGGCTTCAAGATTAGAAAGAGAATTGGAAGGGAATATTAATCATCAAAACATGCATAAGTAATTGAATCAATTACATCACTCTTCCAATTTTTCATATTGAATGATGAGTTGAATCATATGAATAATGAGAATATGAAATGAAAATTCATTATTTCATAACACTCTCGGTATGAATGTCCGAACATGTTTTGTTAAAACTTTACTGGGAAAAAACCCAATTGAAAAAAAAATCTTAATGAAGAAAAAAAGTATAATATTCCTTATACATATTAATCTCTATGTTGGGTTCCTCCTATTTAAAACATCATTTAAGATCTTTAAGACAATGTATCTCAATTTTGTGAACTATTTTCTCAAAAGTCATGGTGGGGTAATGCCCTAGTAAATAAGTTCATTGAATTATCACTTTGATATATTCTTCTTTTAATTGAATTATGCAACCAACACTATCTTTATATAATGTTGCTTGGACTTTCTTTGCTACTAGATAAACCGTATGTCTTTCGGATATAATAGTGCATTGATCTTAACCAAATACATTCTCAACTTGTCTCATGAATTGATATTTCTTCATGATTTAATATGTAGCAGACTATAGTTTGTTTCATGTAACATCATAATATAGTCGTATCATCATGTGTAAATACATAATTCATTTTGTGATCGATTTTTGTATGGATCAAATAAATAACTTGCATTTACATAACCAATTAAAGCTGATTTTGATTTATTTGATTAAAATAAACACCATATCAATTTTTTCTCTTACATAATGTAAAAAATGTTTAATTCCATTCTAATGTCTTTATATTGAAACAAATGTATATCTTGCTTATAAATTTATAAAAAAATGCTATATTAGGTCGAGTATTATCAACGAAATATATCAATGCATTAAATGCACTAAAATATGATATTTTAGAACCAAATAATTATTTTTTATCTTCTCGAGGTTGAAAATGACCTTTTTGGATATCAAGTGAACGAACTATCATTAGACTAGTCAATTGATAAACTTTATATAGAATCATTATAGAATTTTTTTATATATATAGATTGATGAATAAAAATCTCATTCTCTAAGTGCTTGAACTCGAGAGTCGAGATAAAAATGTTTTTTTTCGTGTATTTTATATTAAATTATTTTTTAACATAACTTATGACACTTGAAATATCTTTAAGAGTTTCGGTAATATTTAAATCATCGACATATATAACAATTATCACAAATTTATTTTCAAATTTCTATATGAAAATATATGTACAAATGTGATTATTTTTATAATCTTCTCTTAACAAATATTCATTGAGACGATTACACCACATTCATTTAGATTAACAATAAAGAGTGGATATTGAAAAATGAAATATAAAAAGTATAGCATAAATCAAATTTCTAAAAACTAAAGCAATAAAACAAATATTAAAATAATCCTTATAGAGATCTCCATAATTTAATTAAATATATATTTTCGTAAATGTATATTACATGCCTCGTGCATTTAAGTACTTCTAAGACTTTCATATAAATATCATTTTTAAGTGAGCAAATAAGTTGTGGTCATATCTATTAAATATATGAAGTTTTTCATATATTTTGCTAGGTTAAAGAGATAATGAAATGTAATTGCATCTATTACAGGAGAATATGTCTCCCTATAATCAATGTTAGGTCTTTGCGAAAACTCTTATGTTACAAGTCTTACTTTGTATCTCACAAACTCATCTTTTTTATTTCATTTTTATACAAATAATCATTTGTATCCCCACTATCTTCACATCTTTAAG